CCTGTGGTGCATTTTCTCCATTGATAATTGATGTGGGAGGTTGCTTACTGTGGGGCACCCTCTGGTCTGGTGGCCCTGGGCTCTATAAGAAAGGAGACTGAGGAAGCTTGAGGAGCAGCCCAGGAAATGGTTCTCTTCTGTGGTCTTTGCTTCGGTCCTGGCCTTCAGGTTCCTGCCCTGCTTGAGTTCCTGCCCCAGCCTCTGTTACTGATGTAGTTTGAGCTGACAGTTGTAACCTGAAAAAAATCCCTTCCTCCCCAACTTGCTTTGGTCATGGTGTTTTATAACAGCAGAACATACCCTAAGACTTATAATCTATTTTAGATCTCTATTAGTAATTTTGAGTGCATAATAATGGGTGTGACTTTAAATCTCCGTATTAATAGAGTACTGTAAGTTGAAAAGCCTTTCTCCTTTGTTTTCTACCTGTCCAGTTTCTCACACTATTACCTTCCTTAGTTTTTCTCAGCATATAAAGGCGAATTCTCATACCCATTCTCATTTTGGTCACTTCCTGTGTGAATCAAACCCGATTTCATGTTTCATTCTAGGTTATTTTTTCCCCCAAGATGTTTTGAAGGTTTCCCACATCAGAACACGGTGTTCTTGAATTTTTTTGTGTGTAATTAATATTGTATACAATTTTAATGTAGCATACTTTGATTTTTCTCCACTTATAAATATTACATGATTTCTATTTTTATTATTAACAATTATAATGAATAGAATGTAGTTATATGTGTTTAAACATTTCTGTATTGTTAACTACTAAGTGTAAGGACAAATGCATTAATTACAGAGTTGCCTACTGTTTTTTGAGGTATAAGTTTGTGTGCTTCCAAAGACCTCAGATAACTTATTGGGTACTTTTATATGGGATTATGTATTTTTCTTAGTTTGAGGGTCACTGCCCTGAAATGTGTTTTATTCATTTTCCTAATGGCTCATTAATCATTAACTAATGACTAATAGCAGTTTCTATAAAGCCTCCATGTGGTTAGATAATAGTTCCTTAGGATATGAACTGCTACTAACAATTTTCTGAATAGTCTTTTCATATCTTCCTAGGGCTTTTTGTTTTTTGGCCATGCAAAATTTGTCCTGTTTTTAAGGTGTTTGTCTTGTGCTCAGCTTTGCCACAATACTCAGGGTCTACTGTGGCAGAGTTGCTGGACTCCTGGGAGACATATTGTCCTGGCTGTCATTTATTCTGTTTTTGTACTGGCATGTAAGCATCTGGGATTTGGAAGATTGTAACCTTAGGTACCGATATCTGGTCTGATCTTTGTTGGGTGTTTTGTTCCTTGCTTTCAGTTGCCCTCTCTGGTTCTTAGGGCAATGTGGTAGCTATGTATTGCCTGGTAGGAAGTTCTTCAGGATCCTCTTAGGTGCAGCCACTTGGGGGTTCCAGATAACAATGTGATCCTAGGAGCTGACACCTAGGAATGGGGATGGACTAGAAGGAGTGAGGTGCCCCACAGGAGGGAAGAAAGCAGGCTGTTCCACCAGGATCTGCTTAGTCCCTGGGAATGGGCAGAGATGGGGAGGTTGGGGAGCTGCTGCTCTGCCACAGCGAGGGAGGAGACTAGGCTTTGGTATGGAGAAGAGGGAGAGTGCTTCACGGGCCCCACTTGCTTTTCCCTCAGCTTGGCTGTCAGGATCCCATAGAGGGCCTGCAGGAGCTGGGGCTGGGATAATAGGAGGAGGAAGGTGGGGGCGAGATCTACTGATCCACTGGAAATGGGGGTGCTGGTTGGGGTTGAGGGATGGGCACAGAAGGAGGTCTGCTCAAGACAGGGAGGTGAGACTAGGGGATTGGATCTAGAGGATAGCTTGGAGCTGTGAAGATCCCCACAGTTTGATTACCTACTTCCCTGGCCTGAGTGGCCTGTGGGTTCCCAGGGAATGCCTGCTAGAATTGGAGACCACAGAGAAGGAATGAATTGGGGGAACAAATGTTGAAAGTGAAGAGCTGTGTTTTCCATTAGAGATAGGACCAGAGAGAAAGGGGACAGATCTGGATTGAAGGGAGGTGGGGTGGAGCTGGGAGGAGTAGAGGGAGGAGAAATCGTGATTAGGATATGTGAGAAAAAATAATCTGTTTTCAATAAAAGGGAAAATATTCTGTTTTTATTGTTTCATTTATTAATTGTGTGTGCGCACATGAGTCCAGCGCTCATAGAACCTAGATGAGTGTGTCAGGTATCCTGGAGCTGGAGTTCCACCTGACACATGGGTGATGGGAAGTGAGCTCAGGTCCTCTGCAAGAACAGTATAAGCTCTCAACTGATGACCCACCCTTTCGAACCTACAAATTTTATTCCTAAGGTGATATATCAATTTTGATTTTAAAAAGTATTCATTTTAGTTATATTTTTATTCTTATTGTTATTAATAGTGTGTGCCTGTATGCATGCATGTGTACGTGTGTGTGTGTGTGTGTGTGTGTGTGTGTGTGTGTGTGTGTGTGTGAGAGACTGTATGTGTGTGGTGGAGATCAGAGGAAAATTTTCAGCAGTTGCTTCTCTGCTTCTCTCCTTCTGCCATATGGACCCTGGGTTTGGAAATCAGGTGGTCAGGTTCTGGAGCAAGTACCATCATGGCTGAGCTTTCTTGCCTGCCTAACTTGATTTTTTTTTAATAGGTTACTTTTAGAGAAGTTTTGAATTTGTTATAAAATTGATCTTAAGTGTGAGGTGTATTTTCCAAAACCTTATTGGCTTCCAGATACACACAGCCTATCATATTTTCTGTACACCCTTTCTGTAATGGCATGTTTGTTAAAATGGATGAACTGACATGACACGGCATTACCCTCCAGAGTCCTCAGCTTATAACAGACTTCACTGTTGATACTGCACATTCTATAGGTTTGGATCAATTTATAATGGGATGTTTCTACCATTACAGTGTCTGTTCCCTAAGCGTCCTTTGTACTTTGCAAATTCATCCATCAGTCGCTGGTTGGCCTCAGACAACTGCTGATGATAGTGTCTCCTATGACAGAAGTCATACTCTAGGAGTGACAGTCTTTTTCAGATTGGCTTCTCTCACCTAATGACCCGCATTTTGTTTCCGGCATGTCTTTCTGTGGTTTGGGAGCTAATTTCTTTTTAGTGCTGAGTAATGCTACACTCTCTGGATTTACTATATTTTATCTCTGTGTTCGCCTACTGAAGAACAGCATAAAACTGTAAACACAGCTGTATAGGTATTAGTTGGCTCGAGGACTATTACCAGCTTCCTCACTCGAGGCAGTTGCTGTCCCCGTTCTATTTGGTTCCTTGTGTGAGCTGTGCTTAGAAGCCTAAAGTGGACTGGCCTTTCTTAGACTCGCGCGTACATACTGAAGGTGATGGCTTTCGTTTTCTTCATGTTATAGAAATAGAGGTTCTGATACAATGGTGATGCTATTGCTTCTGTACCTCAGCTGAGTTAGCTTCTACATGCACGAGATAGCGTCAGTAAAGAAATGGGCTGACTTTGTCTTTCAGTCCTCAGAGCAAGAACTTTTTTTTTTTAGCACCCAGTACAATAGAAGATGTATTTTTCACCCTGTTAGTACCAGCAACAGTTTCATTCCAAGCTTTCTTGTTTGTTAGATACTTAAATAAAATCCAATATTTTCAAAGAGCTGTCTCCCTGATATTTGAATGGCATTTTAATAAGCGTTTTGAAAAGATTTAAACTTATTATACACCAGCTTGTTTTTTGAAGACAAATCATGTCGTTTTGTTTAGCTTTCTAATCCTTTAATCATTTTTTTTTAGCATGGTTCCACGTGTTTCACATCCCTCTATAGACTCCACAACTGGACTAACTCCTTCAGTAAAGCTAATCAGGATGAAAAGAAACAGAAATGTCATTCCGTTGCTGTTCATTATGTGTTCCAGCACACAGTTTCCAGACCTGCCTTGTTATAGTTGACCTTGAACACAGCATTTCTATACCTCTAGTTCTAGATTGCCAACCTTAAGAGTGAGTGAATGTGTGTGTGTGTGTGTGTGTGTGTGCTTGCGTGCGTGTGTGCGTGCGTGTAGTGAAGATGAGCTTCATGGCATGGATGACCACAGGGCACTGAGACAGGTGTTTTGAGGGGCCTGTACTGAGTTTAAAGCTCTGTTCCTGCTATCTTGAAATTAATTAAAATAATTTTTAACCAGAGCCACCTTGTGTTTATTTTGCATTGGGGCTTAAAATTTCAGTAACATGTACAACTTATAGTGGACTGGAGGACATGGTTGGTGAGTCGGAGGTAGCCTGTGTCTAACCCGCCTCAGTCAATATGACAGATAAATCGGGTTATAAATTTGTGGTTTTCCCTCTCAGTCTTTCATCTCTTCACCAGCAGGCTTGAGTAGTTCCTAGTTTATCTGTTTGATCTCTGGTCTCTTGAATTTGTCATCTGCTCATGGCTCCATTTATTTCACATCAGGCATTTGAGGCATGCTTCTTCATGGAACTTGAGCTGTGAGAGACCAGCCCTCATTCCTTTCAGAAGAGTCTTTGTCAGGAGTCCCTTCTGTCTATTAAGAGATTGCAGCTCACTGCCTCTTGCCCTGAAAGGTTGCCTATTCATTTCTAAGAGTTCTTACTCTCTTTGCTTTGTTTATACAGCACAGTTTCATACCTCAATCTCTTAGAAAAATTTTATATTTTTTGCTCTTTCTGCAAAGGGGCATGGAAGTTAACACCAGAAATTATGTCCAGGGCATTAAATATATATATGTATTATATATATATATATATATATATATATATATATATATATATATATATATGGATTCTGAAATACTCAGGGAAGTCACATGGGGAAAAATGTTACTAAGTACAAATAGTGAGATTTTGCACTTTTATTTTTCTTTCCTATAAAGCTAATCAAATAGGCATACAGCTAATATAACTTTTAATGAATGTTTTATTGTATGAGTCAGCTGATTTAGCCATTTATTACTATTTACTTGTCTGTGTGTTTACTTACTTACTTTGTTTCCTTGTAGCTTAACAAACAGCAGTTGCAGTTGCTGAAAGAACGATTCCAGGCCTTCCTCAATGGAGAAACACAGATAGTGGCAGATGAAGCCTTTTGCAATGCGGTCCGAAGTTACTATGAGGTGAGTTTACAGAGCTCTGTTTCAGGCACGGTGGCATTTCCTGGACCATTTCACTGGTGTGGCAAAGAGTCTCGGAGGTTTTGACAGTCTCCAAAGGATTTTCACTTCTATTTTGCAATTTAAAAACTCTAATTCCACTGTCTGGTTTTGAGAGATAAATAAACTTGGAAATTATTCACATTGTTTGGAAAATAAAGTGTTTAGAATGATCTTCTGGCAGTGACTGAGATAGCTGAGTCTAGCTATCTTGCGGTTCACATTCATAGATGATCCTTTTTAATCAGGATTTCAATAATAAATTACTATCTTATGCCAGTTTGCTCTTTAAGAATTATATAATTAAAGGCACTAATTAATTTCAGGAGAATGCACTTCTTTTCTTATTGAATGAATAATACCACCAATTCCATCTTGCGGTTACCTCTGACTTTCCCTTGTGACTCAAATGGGAATTCTCTGTGTATCTCCAGTGAGTGGTTTTCACACATTATCGTTAGCCTGTTTCAGTGGGTTGTCAATGGATGTTAAGTTGGAGAGTTCACCTATGCCCTAGCCATCTCAGCATCATTTGGGGAATAGGTTCCCTTCATTGTGCAAGTACTTTAAATGTTTCATCTGAAGAAACATGAGATACACGGCTTAGGCTAGTGCAAAATTGAAAGTGTGGAGACATAATATTCTGAACTTCCCTGAGGCAGGGAGTACTGTTGTATACAAAACAAAATATCTAGCTGTTTAGCTTTGTGATTCATGGGCAATATATTATTTAATACACCACTGCATAAGGATAGAGTGAATTAAAGGAACACATGATAGTTATTGAAGTCTGGCTTACCGAGTACACGTGACACAGATCTCAGGGCTATCGCAGACATATTGTCTAACTTGATCTCAACTCAGACTATCTTAAGAAAATAGGGCTTATATCTTACCTTGAAATAAGAGTGCATTATGAAATCGTTCCCTGAATCTTTTTTTTTTAATTTTATTTTTCTTTTTAGTTACATTTTGTTGACTCTGTGTCCCAGCTGTATCCCGCTCCCTCATTCCCTCCCCAACCCCACACTCCCTCCCTGGTCTCCTCCCTGCCCCTTTCCAAGTCCACTGATGGGGGAGGACCTCCTCCCCTTTCATTTGACCCTGTTTTATCAGGTATCTTCAGGGCTGGCTGCAAAGTCCTCCTCTGTGGCCTAACAGACTGCTCCTCCCCAGGGGGGGGGGGAGGGTCAAACAGCCTGCCCTTGAGATCCTGTTAGAAATAGTCCGTGTTCCCTGAATCTTAAAAGATGAGCATACATTTACATACATGTGAGCAATAGCTGTTAGTGAGGGGGTTAAAGCTGTGAATTTGAAGGAGAGCTGTCCACAAAGATGTCAGGCTTTTTTAAGAAAATAAGTCAATGAGCTTATGTTGGGTTTTAATAAATACATCATGGCACACTAAGTGAAAAGGGTAATTGAAAAATGGTGGATGAATGAGTTTTTTAAAACTATCTTTAAAACTTTTGTACAAATCTAGTTATTCCATAATAAGTGGTAGGTTTTGTTTTTCCTACATCACTTCAAGATTTATTGTAAAACGTTCAGTGATCAACACAGTGGGTATTAGTAAAATACAAACAGACTGAGGAAACATTGTAGCGCACCTGGAAATACACTGCTAGCATAAAATAATCTTTGGCCAAAGAGCCACTACTACACCGTGGAAATTACAGTCCTGCAAAAAATTCATGATGGGGCAACTGTATGCCCACATGCAAAAAGTTAATCTGTATCTGGAATTTCTACCTTTCAAAAACTGAAATAACTGGGTCATAGACTTAAATGTATCACTAAGTAACATTTAGAAGAAGCAGAAAAATATATATATATATGACTTTGGGTTGGTCCTTGACTTCACCCCTGAAAAAATAAACTGACTTATGGAACTTAAAAAAAAAATCTCCACTTCTGATGAGAACTGATAGACTAAGATCAGAAAGAAGAGGAGAACCTCCCCTATCAGTGGACTTGGGGAGGGGCATGCATGCAGAAAGGGGAGGAAGGGTGGGATCGGGAGGGGAGGAAGGAGGGGCTTATGGGGGATACAAAATGAATAAAGTGTAATTGATAATAATAAAAGAATATTTTTAAAAATCTCTAAAGGAGATACTGTCAAATGAATGAAAAGGTATATCACAGGCTTTGGTGAAATACTTGTGGAAGACATGCCTAAAAAAGAATTAGTATCCAACTATGTGAAAAACTCTTGAGACTTGACCAATAATGAAGACTTGACCAATAATGAAACAGACTAAAAAGCTGATTAAAAATTTGACACCACACTCATGGATCAACGAAGTAGAAAGGACAGAAATTATTGTCAGAGAAATGCAAATTAAAGCAGTAGTGAAATAGCACTGTTCAAATGGCCTTGAAGCAGAATTGATGTTATCAAAGGCTGGTGCGAAGGTGGGGCCACCGGAAGACAGTCTCTTGTTTTAAACTGATAGTAATGGTTTTCTTAGTCTCTTCATTGCTTGAGAATTTTACCCATGCATATAATGTAAATTGATCAATCCACTGACTCTTCTTTCTCTTCCAGCTCCTCCTTTATTTCCTTCAACACTTTTCCTTCTTAACTTTATATGCGCTTTAAAAAAAAAAAAAATCACCGAATCTCCTTGCCTATCTATGCCCCGTTAGGCAGCATTCAGAAGAAAACAGGCTCTGTATCTTCCAGCAGCCATCAGTTGTCATAACTTTCAGCTAGAGGTGGGGTTTCCTGAGCTCCTCCCACATGTTGTGATGTTATTAGTTTGTTTGTATACATACGGTCATATGACTGTGAGTTCATGTGTATCTAGTTAATACTGTTTTGCAGGCATCTACTACCTCTGGCTCTTAGAATCTTTCACCTCTTCTGCAGTAGTTTCTAAGCCTTGAGGTCGGGTTGTTGCTGTTGTTGTTGTTGTTGTTGTTGTTGTTGTGTGTGTGTATGTGTGAGTGTTTCATTTAGAGCTAAACACCGTCTAGGAGTTTTATTCTCTGAATGTTGTCCACTTGTGAATCTCTTTATTAATCATCAGATACTAGAGAAAGAAGCTTCTCTGGTGAGAGGTAGGAAAGGGACTAATTTATTGGGTATAAAATGATAACTTAGGGAGCAGTTCATCATTTTCATTCAGTCTAAGCTGTTTCTAAGTACTCACAATAAAAAGAAAGTACAGCTTAGTCACTGTCATCCCCAGAATTTCTGTCATCCTGAGAAATGGCATTTTATTGACTAATCAGATCGTCTTTTCCAGGTCATTAGTCTACAGACAGTTAAGTGTCAGTTGTCAATGCAGATACTTACTGTTCGTATGCTTCTCTTTAATACTCAGAAACCCAAATATGTTTCTTTATCTCTCTATTACTTGATGAAAACATGTCTTCATGGCATGCTCATTTTTTAAAAAATGGTAAGTAATTTCATCCAAACAGACTCATTCTAGAAGTAAATATTTGTGGGAATTTATTTGTGATGTTCTCATAGCTATATAGGTGTAGATTTGCATATTTATGTATCAGATTCACCATTTACAGTAACTGATATTTAGGATGTTACATAAATACACACGCTACACAGGTAGTAATGTTTTTTCTATGATTAGTTTTACTGCACTCTTTGATATCTTAAATACTATAAAGTAATAAAGATGATTAAAAAATAAATTATAAAACTTCATTAATAATTTGCATCATAAAATTCTCAGAGGAAAATAAAATGAACCCAAACATGTAAACTACTCAATAGGTCAAGAAGGCTATAGGAAAGGACAAGAACAGGAAAGAAAGAAAAACAATGCCAAGTACCCTACCAAGTGCCGAAGTATAAGGTGGCAGTTACAATCTAGATAGGTTAATGTTTCTTAATTATTGATGGGATCATTTTAAGTGTGTGTCTTGTGTTCTGTAAGCATCTCACTGTCTACATAGAAGCCATTGAGTGAACAGTACATTTATAAGTATTTACATTTTTTAGGCCATATCTTTTTTTTTGTTTGATTGTTTCTTTTCTTTCTTTGTTTTATGGCGATTGTGGCTGTGGTGGGTTTTAATTTAGGAGAGTTGAGCTGATGGTGCGGATGGGTAGACCTAGGTTTACTGCAATTTGTTACTTTCCAAGCTGCTCTTACCATCAGATACCCTCTTCTGCTTCATGGGATGTTAGTGGATTTAATTATTTAGAGCAATGGACGTGTGATTTATAATTGGGATATGGAAAAGTTGGTGGCCTTTTCTTGAAAAATTCTAAAGGACAGTACATAGTTGTTGCCTTCCTCTTTTCAGTGTAATTGAGACTTCAGGTTCTGCATTTGCTTAAATGGGTGTTAGAGCCTTTCCCTTTTTATTTCTCAAGGGTATCCTTGGTAGGGAGTGACTTTTATTTGCAACTTTTCACAAGGAGGATGTATAGTTTGTTTATTCTACTTATTCTCTTCTCTTTCCAAAAAACTGGGTGGGAATTAAAGATTGAATTGCATTCTCTTTGAAAATTAATAGAGGGATGCTGTGATTTGAATGAGAAATGACACCCATAGGCTCACATATGGTCCCAGTTGATAGTACTATTTGGGGAGGTCACGGAACCTTAAAGAGTTGGAGCAAGTCGCTGGAGGAGGGCTTTACCTTTGTAGCTTTACCACTTCCATTTACTGTTCTATGCTTCCAGCATGTGAATCTAGGGATGCGATCTCTCAGCTTCCAGTTTAGAATATTTTCGGCCATGCCTCCTCATTATTATGGATACCTAAATGAACTCTTTCTTTTTTTCTCCTCACAAGTTACTTTTGGTCATAGTATTTAACACAGCAAGAAAAAGTAACCAATACAAGGTATCACCAAAGACATCATCAACACCGCTTTGTTCACTACTACTGCCATTCAGTTTCTATATCCATGTAGGGAGAAAAATGAGAATTCCTGAAGTAAGTTAAAAAAATAATTTCAAGGTCTTTTAAGTATGAAACATATTT